TCTGTCTGTCTCTCTCGCTGTCTGTCTGTCTGTTTGTCTTTCTCTCTCTGTCTGTCTGTTTGTCTGTCTCTCTGTCTGTCTCTCTCGCTGCCTGTCTGTCTCGCTGTCTGTATGTCTATTATGCTCAATGAAGGGAATCAAATCCCAACTTGGTCTTATTCCAAGTTGTAACTTTCCACACAAAGACAAGCCTTTCAGAAACCAACCGTGGGAACGTTTTTTATTTTTTTATTTCACTTCTGTTTCATAACAAGGTGTCATCACATAATGACAGCAAAATACATTTACGTAAGATTCTCCAGAATGCTATTGTTGTTTTATTTATTTGAATCTTTTAATCTTGTAAGTATGTATACCACATGGATCCATGCTAGACCCAGTTCTTTTCTCATATTTAAACACTGCATTATTTGTCTGTCCAACATTTTTTTTCACTGTTGCAAAAAATACACTTCTCACAGATTCTGACCTATCAAACTGCAAATTATCACAATTAGCATCTAATGACCGTTCTAAACCTCCAACTTATCCTTGACTGGAGTCTGTCTTTGAAGAGCAAAGGTTTCTGCCACCAACAAGGGGAAGATCACTGTGGCGTCTCCACACACCTGCAAAAGGGCGCACAACAGGCTGTGAGTTAAACAAGACAACAGGCCCTCAATCAACGGCTGTCCCTGTATCCCTGCTTTGATTCCTATAGATGAGGATGTATCATAAATAAACTGAGTTCGGTACACACCTTGTTTTTCCATACATACTTATGGGTGTTAGAATAAAAAAACAATCTTGACTTAATGTTGATATTAGTATGTCTGATATAATGGTAGTGTAAAAGGTACCTTGACAGGTTTGGCATCTAATGTGATCTTGCCCCAGGACACTGCTTCATCAGGTCTGGCCCCTGAGTCGCACCCGTCATATTCCTGAGCCGTGTTCACATACACCGCAAACTCAGCTCCTTTCCTCTGGAAGGAAACAAAGCAGTTTGTCAAAACTTCACTCTGAGCAAAGGAGACTATTATACTTATTCACCAATTCATTGATCCAGTTTCCCACAAAGGTTAGTTACTGCTTGACCTTAGGTCTAATACTTAAATATAGCATTATGAAGATATATAAAAAAAAAATACTTACCCATGCATTGGCATTGCAGGTGTGGTGTTTTGCTAACCCTCCTCCTAGGATGATCATCCCTGTGCTATTGGCATTCACAGCAATGTCGTTTATAATTGAAATATCTATAGTCAAAATCAGTGTGTAAGATTACTCAAAAACACAAAGCAACATTTAAGAGCACACAAATAAAGACTGTTTTACCTTCAGCAATATCCAAAATCAAGCCAGGGTTCACAGCCGAGAACATGTAGAAGAGGTCTCCTATGGCGCCATCTGTTAGGGCAGGGCTGAACACTGGAATGTTGTTCTGCAACAGACACCAGGTCACTGCTTAATTAAAACCCAATCACTAAATGATTTGAACAAAAACCTCCGGCACTTGCCTCTAAGAGAACCCTGACCAGTACTCACCTTGTAGGCCCAATAGCAGACAGATTCTGGGTTGTTGATCTCCTTGCCCAAGCGATGGATCATCTTAGATGGAGTCCAACTCACACCCTGAGAGCAGAAACATCACAGAGAAATGGAAAAATACAGTGATCGCTAGGAAAAAGATGCATCAGGACATCCCGGTTAACAAAATGGGTAAAATAGCATTAGCATTCCTCCTTCACAATAAGTTAGAATTTAAGATTTAAAAGTAAAGACCTTTTATTGTATGCTATTAAGAAATCATTAAGTACTGTAACTTGTTTTATTATTATTGTTGTTGTGAACCATTAAAACAATGTAAAAATTGTAGGAAGAGAAGTCCACCGATGAATGGATCTGTCCACTCACCTGAGAGTTCTGCTCCAGCAGCATCTGCTTCATTATTGGCAACATCCATTTTTCTAATAACATGTAGTTCCTATCAGGCATCAGAAGATTGCCAATCCTGCAGCAAATGTAACATATGGAAACCAAATGAAAATGATGTATCAGTTGGGTTAATAATGTTTTTTCAAATTCAAATGCACAATGATTACACATTACTACATTAAAATGTTCATCACCGACTGACCTGTCGAGACCGTTTTTATACAGATCCTTCCCAGGCAGAGTGAAGTCTCCGATGTAAATATGTCCCAAACATTTGATCAGATCCTCCTCTATACCTCCAGCTGTGGTCACCAAGACATCCACCTAAACAGAGGAGGACATTTACTGTATATGTATTATATGGATTTAACATGCAGAATGTGGACTTGATAGCATTTTGTCTTACAAGCCACATGAACATTTTAGAACGTTGTGCACAGTGTACAGCTAAATCTTTAATTGCTTCAGCAAAAGTCTTAAAGCCCACATTGTTATTGCTTCGTGTGGTTGAGAAGGGTCATATACCATACTGTGCTCTGCGAGATAGCGGATACTCTCCCTGACTCCACTGCTGATGAGGTTTGAAGTGTAACTGAGGAAGATGGTGCAGCTCAAGGGGCACGGGCAGGTCGATGGATCCTCCTCAACACTTCCATTCACTGCCTTCACCGGCTGCTGCCGCTTCTTGATCTGTGGATGTTGGAGAAGATTGCAAAAAGTGAGGAAAGTAAACGGTGAAAGTTTGTTACACTGGAACACGATGATTCACAGACATTCTCCCTGTGTTCCATCCATCTCACCATGTTGTTTATCTGCAGGATAGCCAGGCCCAGATTAGTGGCTTGGAAGCCTGTGCTGAGGAAGGACTGTAGCAGTGCGTGGTGGTCCACTCCCTGGTTGAAATCATAGCCCTGGACCTTTGGTGTGTCTGGTAGGGTGAGAGTCTCTCTGTAGATGTAGTTAGGTATTTTGCGGTTACAGGCCATATTGTCTGGGGACAAAAAACATTGGGGATGTAAATATAGATTTATGCATTTACTGTCATGAACTGAAAACTAACCAGCCCTATTTCTAGTTTGTACATATGAAGCAACTTGCTCAACCAGTCTGGGTAGTTGGTAAAGAGCAAGAAGGCATTGTATCTTCACAGGGCCATAGTATATTTTTCATAATCCAATCAATCAAATCTATTAAATGTTATTTGCATAGCCCATATTCACTTATCACAATTTTACTCATATGGCTTAAATGTGTGTGTGTGTGTGTGTGTGTGTGTGTGTGTGTGTGTGTGTGTGTGTGTGTGAGAGAGAGAGAGAGAGAGAGTCTGTCTCTGTCTTTCAAAACTTGGAAAACTGTAAAAACAATTCTCTTGGCTCCTTTTTTCTGTGTAGAACAGGTGAGTTATAACATTACCTATGTAGTTTGCAGACAGAAGATCTCTTGTTGGCTTGTCCTCCGGATGTCATTCAGTCCATGCAACTCTCACCAGAAATGGAATCAGGTCGCAGTTTTATACCCTTTACGGAACCAGGAGGGTGGAGTTGCGTGCAGGCATGTTTCCGAGAATGGCCCAGGTATTGCCCCTGAGCCGCACCCATCATATGCTGTAGTCCTGAGTTGTGTTCACATACACTGCAAACTCAACTCTAATATAGCGAAATGCATGTCTTATTAATGAGAAGGGTTTTATACCATTCTGTGCTCCACAAGGTAGCGGATAGTCTCCCTCAATCCACCGCTGATGAGGTTTGAGGTGTAACTGAGGAAGATGGTGCAGCTCATGAGGCACGGGCAGGTTGATGGATCCTCTTTGACCATTCGCTGCAGTCACTGGCTGCTGACGTCTCTTTATCTGTGGATGTGGTGTGGATGGCAAACTTAAGTTTAAACTTTTTTATAGAGCGCAATCTCAGCAAAAGTACACATATTCTCCTCTCAGATAAAAGTATATGAATTGTTTCAACCTCTGTACTCAAGTAAAAGCATAAACGTACAGGCTCTAAAATGTACTCAAAGAAAATGTATTGCAAACAGCGAGAAAAGATTTGCATTCTTAATTAGATTTGCCTCTAATTAAGGTCAGGGATAGGGAATGTTTTGTTGCCCTGCTTTATTGTGGACGTTGGCTGATTCTTCACTTCCTTCCATTTTGTTACTCCTTCTCATGGACATATGCACTGAGCCTCTTCCCTCCTGTCTGGTTTATCTTGATACGTCTTTTACACTGTGTTGAGTATGTTTGCACCAACAGATACATAGCAAGGAATCATCTTCTCTGTGTAGGTACAGATATCTGTGTTAAAATAAAGGGGATATATTTTTAAAAATATCAGAAAGGAATTACTCAGATACCTGAAAAATCAACTCACAGTATTTGTACTGTATTAGTTCCAACATCTGCACAAAACTAATTAAGATAAGATTAGATAAGACAAGATAAGAAAAGATAGACTAGCACATACAGTATTTGCTGTTAAAATGTAGTAACCCACTGGTTGTCGCCTATAGACACACAGGATGCTGTTAAAATAAATAGTATTACAGGAGGAGTAGGTGGACTCACTGGTACAAGTGCTCAGTCAAAGATTCATTGCGAGTAGCATTAGATATTTGCCTCTGGCTGACTCATTGTTTAGGGTTATTGATGGACAGAATCTGGTGATTCTCTCGTCTTTGATGGCTTTGAGTTTGGAATGTTGCCTGACTCCATGCAATGATTTTTACGGATCTTTGTTTTTAGCCTTGGGCTGAGGTTGTTGAACCAGACTGAGATCCCATACCACAGAAAGCTCTCGGCTGCGGAGCAAGAGAAACTAGACTTACTGGTCGAGAAGACTTTACACCTGATAGTACAAGCTCTGCTTGGCTGCAGAGTATATTAGAGTAATGAAAAGTGCAACATGTGGTATGCTTCAGTTGTCCTAAAAACTCAAAAGGTTTTTAGTTTGTCCAGTTTGGACGACTGTAAAAAACATGGCGGCCTTCATAGGGAGGACCAGCTCCTGATAAATATAAAGTATTCAAATATAAAGGGCCCATTCTAGGGTAAAGAAAACAGCAATTCGTACAATTTAGATGAAACAAACTAAAGAAAAGATCACTAGGATGAATTTATATTCAATTTTGCTGATAGAGCCCTTCACTTAAATCTTACACATTGAACCTTTAAGTCTTAAAAAATGGATGTTGCGTATTCGCAGAAATTCTCCCTGTGCACCATCCATCTCACCATGGTGTTGATCTCCTTGACAGCCAAGCCAAAATCAGTGGTTTGGAAGCCTGTGGTGAGGTACGCCTGGGTGGGCATGGCGGGCCATGTTGTCTGAATGAACGATACGACTCACTGTCATAAAATAGTCATGTATGCAAAACTAGAAAACCTCTAAGGTATTCTAATGCATATTCAACTAATGGCACATGAATGAGGAATTTAAGCACTTTTCAGACATGGGCATAGCCAGATAAAAGACTGTCCACAACCACCTATGAAGTCATTTGCAGTGGAGTCTGCAGGGTTTTTTTAACACGCGTGTCCTGCAGCCTTCATACAGCTGCATTGATTTAATGACCTGAGGGACAAGCTTGTCATACAGTGTCAAGCAGCTGTGCACAACAAATCGGACCACATTTTTGTAAGTTTAAAGATTAATGCAGAATAATTTTCTGCTTTCACCACCTTTAACTCTTTAATCTCTCTATGCTGTAAAGTTATGTAAAAGTTTAAGGAACATTGTGATCACAGTGGTCGTAGTAATCACCTCAAATAGACTAACTCTTTGTGGTCTAGCTAATTACTCAGTAGGATCTTTTACATTCACTAGAAGATTAAAAAATAATAATTAATATCATTGTTAATATTTATTGTCAATAATTACAATAATTTTAAATCCGAATATTGATGCAGGTGGACGGTCTTTGTACAGTGACCTGTCTTGTTTTTCTGGTTCTGAGCACCATGAGAGTGGAGAAATAATTCCACTTCCTTACCGAAGGAGCACAGACAATAATATCTCTACGTATAATATATATATATATGTCTCAGTTCAATGGGGAGCTATTTACACACACACATATATATATATATATATATATATATATATATATATATATATATATATATATATACGATTTACATATATTTGTAAATCGTTTATGCACAGGGGACACGTTTCTCAGACGCCATGTTCTTCAGCAGCCTCTGGGGCACTAGTAGGTTAAAAAGGAGTGGGAACCAATGTTTGTGGTCCGCGTTTCCCGTCGACTCTTTACAAACTGACGGAACAAGCGCACAAGAGGTCCGTGAACCGGTAAATTCAGCGTCAATAATTAAATGTCTTAATATTTTAGAAGAATAAACGCCCGTGTAGTCATTGTTTACTCCTGTCTTTAATTCACACGAACGCGCCGGGGCTGTGAGCCGCGTTTTCCCTGTAACAGCCTCCATTAGCCGAGGAGCTCCGCTAAATGTAGCTGCTGTTTACGTTAGCATCAGAGGCTAATGCAAGAACGGTTCACAGGGAGGTATGATGATGTGTTGATCTGTAGGTTTCCATCAGCTCAGTCGTCTGTTAACTCCAGAATAAACATGCACACCACGAGTAACTAGGTCCGGAGCATTCATTCCATTTTAAATCCAAGTGATTTTCAACTCTTTTTCTGTAGTGACACAAACCTGAGCAGCTGTTGATGTGCTGAGTTAATCCAGAGAGAGAGAGAGAGAGACGAGCAATCATGACTTCACTGGTAAGTTTACACTCACACACAACTACAAACAACCTGTATTTCTCTATATCGAAGTGTATGGCAGCTGTAATTTCACATGTACATGCTTTTGTACTAGTTCGCCTTGATTACTGTGATGCACTTTGTTCGAGTATTAGCCAGAGCTCCCTGCTTTTAATACAAGGTGGATGTCCTGTACTTTACTGATTCATTCCTGTGTCACACTTTACACAATGTAAGAATAAACCATACAAAATGTACATAATAAAAAATATAAAATAATGTGTGTATATATATATATATATGTGTGTGTGTGTGTGTGTGTATGTATGTATAGTGAGTGCAGGGGAAATGCTTCTGTATTGCTCATCACTTGGAAAAAATGTAATTCTACTTACGTTTAAGGCCTTAAATCGTGGCCGTGCACTGACTTATTAACCTGGTTCGGGTCCTCTCATAATAATAAAGAGTGCCAGAGCCTTACCTATAAGAATTCTCACATTATGAACCTCGCTCCTCATTGAACTAAGACTAATTCACTGTCTTAATACCCTTTTTACACGCTTTTACAAATGATGGACATTGGCTCTTATTTACACTGACTAATTCTAATTATCTATTTTATTGTTCTGTTCACTCTGCTCATGTTCTATTGTGTTATTATCATTGTTTCTTCCTTGTAAAGCACTTTGTAACATTGATAAGAAAAGTGCCATATAAAAAAGGTTTAGTTATTATTATTAGGATTGTTTAAGTTATTATTTGCCTCTGCCTATCTGTGTCACACTCCCATGATGAAGTTTGGTAAAATAATTTGTGTGTTTGTCTAACAGGGGAGCAGCAATTCCTCAGCCACAGAATACACTGTGCGAGTCCCAAAGTGAGTAACAGAGACCAGCATGTAAACATCTGCAGAAAAGTGTCCGGGAAAGCCTTGTCAGGTGTCACCATTTTGTATTAAAAGAGAGACACAAAAGAAAAGCATTACTTAATAGTCAATCATTCTAATAATAAATATAGTCCATCTATTCTCACAACCCACAGTAGAGATATGCAGTTGATGACTTATTGTTTGCATTTCTCTTTGTCTGTCCTGTAGAAACACCAGTAAGAAGTACAACATCATGGCTTTCAATGCAGGAGACAAAGTCAACTGTTCAACATGGACACAGGTGGGCTTCATAGTAGGGCATGTTTACAAGATATATTATGCACAGGCTCAGTGCTGAAATAAAATGACCCACTGTGTGGTCACCCATGGTAAGAGCCATAGCACCCATTTTTGAGTTTTGTGTTTCTGAGCAGCTCCCTCCCTCTCATTTTCCAGGCTCGTATGGAAAGAGACATGAGTGCTCGGCGGATATATGGGGAGGAGGAGACAGCAGAAGGTGCAGCTGGTAGTGAGTTTGGCAAAAAGCAGCGTGAGGAAGCGCGGAGGAAGAAGTTTGGAATTGTGACACGTGAGTTCAAAGTGGAGGACCAGCCCTGGATCCTCAAGGTCAATGGCAAGGCTGGCAAGAGGTGAGGAGGCGAGAGACGCTTCTCTATGCCCCGATTCACTCTGATTTACACTTCATTGCATCCGCACACATACTGTTTTCATGATGTAACTGAAACTGGTATTTTCATATGATGTTTAGGTCATTGTTTAAAAAATCTCTGAAGAGGAATTTACACATTAGAGCTAAACTTTGTAAGGTTTTAAAATCCCCTTCAAGTCAGTTCATGAAACTTTTGTAAAATGGTGTCCTTGGCTGGATGGGGGATCCCTATTGTTTGCTTTACAGCCTCTCTCTCTCTCTCTGTCAGGTTCAAAGGTCTGAAGAAGGGAGGCGTTACAGAAAATGCATCCTACTACATCTTCACACAGTGTCCTGATGGAGCTTTTGAGGCCTTCCCTGTCCATGGCTGGTATAACTTTACCCCACTGGCCAAGCACCGAACTCTCACTGCTGAGGAGGCTGAGGAGGAGTGGGGCAGGTTGGAAAGGGGAAGACCAGGGAGGGGTGGCTGTTGGTAGAGAAAGAGTTTACGCCGCCGGTGTAAGTGTCGAAGTAAATCTCAGACATTCCTGTATCTTTACAGGAGGAACAAGGTGGTGAATCACTTCAGCATCATGCTTCAGAGGCGTCTCCGAGAGCAGGAGCGTGGTGACGATGACGAAGACGAGACAGAGAAATCTGGGAAGAAGAAAAAAAAGGGGGGTGGCGGCAGAGGGGGTGACCTGCGCATTCACGACCTAGAAGAGGACCTGGAGATGAGCAGCGATGACAGTGACAGCAGTATGGGGGATGGTAAGTGGAAAGAAACATCAATACCTGAGGCCACATCTGTCCACATCTTCCCTCCTTCTGTCATTATATTGTTTGTTATAAAAACCCGTCTCTTCATGGGACAGATGGGGAGAGCAAGACAAAGGCCAAGAAAAACACCGGAAAAGGACAAGCAAAGAAGAAGAAGCGAAAGAGCAACGACAAAGAGGCCTTAGAAGACAGTGACGACGGAGACCATGAGGGTCTCGAGGTGGATTACATGTCTGATGAAAGCAGGTCAGAACACGAATGCTCCCACTTTATGGATGGTGTGTGTATGTACATATATGTGTATGTGTGCCTGTGTGTTTTTTGTTGTTGCTGTATTTCCTCTTTGATTAGTCTGTAACTTTGTGAATGCAGCTCAGACGAAGAGCCGGGAAAGGGAAAGCCCAGCAAAGGAGAGGACCACCCCAAAGGTGAGTGCGATTTAAGATTACTGAACTATCAGTTAATCCATGTACAAATAAATCAATAGATACATAATGTGTAATAATATTGTTAATGAAACAAAATGTTCTTCATAGGAATTGACGAGGCATCGGAAAGTGAGGAAGAGAGTGAGGAAGAGAAGCAGAATGAAGAGGAAGCTAAAGAGGAAGAGGAAGAGGAGGAAGGAAAGAAAACCCCGGTCCAGATGGAAAAGAAGAAGAAAAAAGGTACAGTCTTAGGTCACTTTGATGAAATGCATACTTGAAAGAGGTCCTTACGAACACAATGAAAGTGAAATGATTGCTTCTCTGCTTGACGTGAGTTTTATGGATTTGTGTGTGACAGACAGCAGCGGAGAATCGGACAGCTCAGACGACAGTGACATCGAGGGAGAGACAGCCTCTGCTTTGTTCATGGTGGTTACTGACTGAATGGAAATTACTGCATTTGATGGTTTAGTCTTGCCCAGAATTTGCATGTGTCTAAATTTATTGCTGCAGCAAGTATATGGTTTCATGCATCTTTAAAAAACTCTGCTGAGAGTGTGTGAATAGATCTGTCATCATTTGTTTGTATTGTTTCCTTTGTTATTCTTATCAAGTATCTCTCTCTCTCTCTCTCTCTCTCTCTCTCAGAAAAAGCGCACCCCTCCTAAACGTGCAGGTGGGCGTGGCTCTGCAGGCAGCTCCAGGACTGGCAGTCGTCCGGGGACACCATCCATAGACTCGGCCTCCACTTCCAACACACTCCGTGCTGCTGCCAGCAAGCTAGAGCAAGGTACATATCTGTGACTTTAAATCATAAGCTGTCAACACTGGTGGCGGCCCTCGTTGTCTTTTAACATGGACATCTTTTTTTGTCGTCTTCTGTGTGTATGGCACTTCTTTTTCATTCTGATGTATTTTCATTCTGTTTTATATAATGTTTCAAATTTTTGAACTGGTTTAACTAAATCTCTCTTTTGCACAGGTAAGAGACAGACTCAGGGTCCTGGCACTGACTCACCAGCTGCAAAAAGGCTGAAGATGGAGCCCAGCACTCAGAGTCCTGTTCCTTCTGGAAAGAGCACACCTCAACCTCCGTCAGGAAAATCCACCCCAAGCTCCAGGTATGTTTTTTGTTTTTGTCTATTAACATTAAGCTATTTACTCCATTTCTTGAGTCCATCATTTTGGTGAAAACACAAATGGCCATTTATTGTGACCCTATAAAGAAATAGTTTGTTGAACAGGATAAAAAGCTTCTTCTCTGTTCATCTGTCCCACAGTGATGTGCAGCTAACAGAGGAAGCGGTCCGACGCTACCTGATCCGTAAACCAATGACCACCAAAGACCTGCTGAAGAAGTTCCAGACCAAGCGCACGGGCTTGAGCAGCGAGCAGACTGTCAATGTGCTTGCCCAGATCCTGAAGCGCCTCAATCCAGAGCGCAAGAATGTCAACGATAAAATGCACTTCTACCTCACTGAATAACCTTTACACAGTGACTGGGGTGGAGAGTATTACTTCACCATATGAAATCTCACATTAAAAGAAAGACACATTGTCAGTGATGAGTTAAAAACAGCTAAGTCTCTGTATGATCTCTCTTAACTTAGAATTTGATGAATGAATTGAAAAGTCTTTTAGACATTTTCTTAGATAAATGTTTTTTTAATAAAATGCAAAATGTGCTGCTGTGTAAGCTTCTTCTCTTTCCATCCTGCATACACTTGGTGGGCGGAGGGTGTGCAGAGACAAACAACACCCCACAACCTACGATCAGATTAGATTCTCTGACTGAGGGAGGAAGTCAGAGTACCTGGAGAAAGCTCCGTGCAAACTCTATACTGAAACATTTGAGTCAGGAATCCTACAGTAAACAAGTTTTCTTGTTATATCCAGGGTAGTGTTGTGCAGTTATTTAGTGTGTAATGATTGCAGAGTAGTGTTAATGCACTGCTTTGTGTGTTATTTGACTGCAGTGTTTTGATTTGAGGTAAAGATTAAACAGTTTTGCTGAAAGATGACGTTTCAGGAAATGCATTGTTGAGGGTGGCTGCAGTTTTCACATGTGACCAGGCCAAATAAAATGAAAGGAGGCTCAACCAATTAATTTTTATTATATAAAAACAGTCCCCACAGATAATACAATTTAAAATTTATTTCATATTGCACAAACTTGAGCATGTGCATATCCAAAGTTGGATTCATGATGTGGCCCATTGTGTATCTTGAGAGTAGAGATTTTTTTTATTTTTTTTCATTTAACAGGTAGTTTCATTACCTGTTTTCACTAATTTTCCACGGAATAATTTATGAATCTCTAAGTTGTATTTATTTGTTTCTATTTATGTTTTTAATGCTGTTTGTGGATCAACTGTAAAACATCGAGGTAATACTTGACACAGGGCTTCTACAGCAGTATTTTCAACTTGAAGACCTGTTTTTCAACAAAATGTTTGCAGTATTGTGCTTAAAAAATTTGAACCCATGAATTGAACACTACTTTATAAAGTATAAGGACCTGCCGCCGCCTACGACAACGACAGCTGAGGAATCATTGCCGAACTTTAACAAATTGGCAGATACATTGGTACTGGAAATGTTTATTCCTCTGTTGGTGTCAGCCAAGGACCCCGAAATGCTCACATCTGTTGGGCTAAACTCAACTTGAATGAACTTCCATTGGTTAAACATCAGCCAGCATTTTCAGTTTTCTTAAGCTCAAGAATATTTGAATACATTGATGAACAAACAAACATATCACTCAGTGACTCCAGATTTAATAGAAAAAAAACTTTTATTTTCCCCTATTCACAAAAATTAAATAAAAAGGGATATATCCCACCTGCACCACAGTTCAGCAAAAAATGGTACTACATCAAATTCAATTGCCAGCCTTTATATGAGATTGAAACAAGTTATGAATTAAGTTTTCCACATTCTTCCCTAAAGTATGCACCAAGCACCGACTCTCCTTCAGTCCGACCATAACATCAAATTTGATATAAACAAATGGTCCGCTATAAAACAACGAAAACAAGTTATTCTTTAAATAAAAAGAACGAAAAAAAAACTTTTAAAGTCCAAAACAATTTGTGCACTGGAGCACAAAAAATAAAAAAATAAAAATAAATAAAACTTAACTGTCACATGTACATCAAAATAAAAAAAAGTAAAATAAAATAAAAAACAAAACAAAAAATAACTTGTGGACAACTTGCATTTAAATTTATTTCTGTAGCGTAGTGTATCACAAAATAGTGAGGAGAGGCCTTCTTCACCAATTCTTGTGGCACAGGAGCATCTGTCTTGCCCCTGATGAGTGAGCGGCCACCTCGTGTCTCAACACTCGTCTACCAGTTAAACCTAGAGGAGTCGCCCATCAGTATTCAGCCTAAGGGGCATTACGGCTTAGAAAAGTGGTCACGAATTGAAACACTGCTGCATCAACTTCTGCAACATCTGCGCTTCAACAAAAATCGAAGATCCATTTCATTTGTTGAGGAAAAATCCAACATTAATGCCGATTCATTAAAATACATTACCAGTCATTTTTAGGGAAATTCATTTTTTTTAATATATATATATAAATCAGGCAGGAATCTATTTCAGTATTTTCCATAAGTCATCTTAGACTTTTGAGCACCCTGACCAACCGATGTTAATTGGCAGGCAAATGATTCTCCCACTGGCAACATCGAACCCAGGCATGACTCAAACACCCTGTACTTCACTTTAGAGTAGGGCTGGTGCAAAGTTACATCTAAGCAGTTACTCGCTTACACACCGTTCTAGTAAAACACCAACAGGCAAGCAGCCATACACACTTACATTACAACCGTCCACTGTGGACAATGACAAAAAGATAAAGCTGGATAAAGACCACCACTCACACATAAGCTTACCAGTGTCAGGGGAGAACTATTAGGACTCGGTCAGTGTACTCCCAGACATATCCTACACAGTATCAACGGGTGAAACTTATGGCAACAACAATCACTTGTTAGATCATAAGCTGGAGAAGTACCTTATTAGTCCAGCTGTGAATTGTGTTGCCATTGACAAAGCTCTTATACAGTCGATCCCTCCGAAGGGACCTGTTACAAAATGGCTAAAAAAGGAGCAAGACTCGTCGAGAAGCATGCAATGTTCATGACAAGGAGAAGCTTTGACGACTCAAACAGCTGCAATTTAAGAAAAGAAGCTGTGATGAAAATGTCGGGGACATCCTAAATTGCAAGTGTAAATTGACAGGTGCACTGGGACGTGGATTCAAAATACTGTAATCAAGATGTCTCCCTCTTAAATCCTATTCCATCCATCTTAGAAGGGGATACATTATAAAACTATGTTAAGAGGCCTCAAGTCTAACCTAGTCATTTTATCATTGCTTAACATTATGCTTACTTTAGCAAGCCATTAACAGTTCTAAAATTACTTATCAAAAAAAACTATACCTCAAGATCAGTATCTCATTACTGTATGCCTTACAGGTGAAATTCAACATTTCTTACAAAAGAAAAAGTGCATTTATATCAGTAATTCATTCTTGGTGATGTCTTATCGCTCTCATTAAGTCGATTTTCTTTACTTTTTAAAAACGAAGCAGCAGCAAAAAGTTTTTCTTGACTTTGCCAACAGTATTAGAAGTGGGACTCTTCAAACCATCAGACATGAGCTGATTCCTGTATCGATCTACCTAAAGTTGGTCATCACACACACACGTAGCCTCCATTTAACTATAGGGGACATTGTTTAGAGGACAGGTATGAATGGGAGGAAGAAAGGAACCAAGCACCTGACAGCTTCAAATTATGGCAGCGTCTCTACACTGACAACGCAATAACTCCAAGAGAACAATACAGGCATTGAGTCAAACATGCATCACTCCGGAGGTGATCATTTGTCATGCAACAACTTGGTACAATGGTGGTAAAACCTTAGAGGACAGACCCACTGCAACTCTTTCCCCCTCAGATGAGAGAGAAAAAGAAACATGCGAGTCAACAGGAACTCAGCAACCAAGGGAAGAGGAGGGAAAATAAATTCAGCTAAATGTAAAAAGAGAATAAGACCCATGTATATGCACACAAAATGGTTTATGCAATCTTGCCGTAAAGGCGAAAAAAAATTGTGCACATTTCCTGCATCGTTACATAGTAAAAGCATGTTTGTTTTTCTTTAGCCTCTTGCACGGGCCTGTTCAAACGCATCTACATCTGTGAGTTTCTACCGACTGCGTGCAACGTGGTATTTGGGACTGTGGCACCCTATGCTGGTTCAGATAAATCCTTATTATGTACCTATCTGCCACCCCCCTCCCCTCCCAGCCGTCATCTATCTTAACAGAATAATCAAATTGAGGAGGGGGAGGTCAAAGCCAGCCCCTATTTTGCCCTCAACTACCTAGGATCCCTGCGGTGCTGTTGGCGAAAGTCACTTTTGAGCGTGTTTGGATTTCGTGAGGCGTTAAGTCCGAGAGGTATATGCATATCCCCAGTTTACCCTCCCACACCCACCACCCCCCTCCCACCCTCCCTCAGAGACACACAGGGCGCGGGGGAAAGGGGGCCATCCGCTGAATGGAGGGTCAAGGCCAGTCACATCCCTCCAGCTCGTTTCTCCCCCGTGATCTGGGCAGTGCAATGAGTTCCCCAGTTACCCTCCCCTACATTAACCTAAGAAAGAGAAAAATGGAAAATAAAAACAAGTTTAAATTACGCTACACAGCAACTAGTTAATGAAACAGAAACAGGCTCAGGGTCAAAAGTGTTGAGATTCTGGATCAGAAAAATAATTTGGGAACAAAATGTATCATCATGTGTCAATGAGCTGGGATTTTCATCATTTCCAGAAGGGAGTGGTCTGGGTGCAGGGTTATGCGTTTGAGATGTTTGCTGGACATACCTACAGGTCTGTGTCCTGTGTGGACCAGGGGGAGGTTGGGTTAGACGCCGTAGCAGGCAGACAGGCGCTCCTTCAACAGAGGAGGGAACTGCTCGGAGAACTGCTGCCAGTTCTCTTCTCCGACCTGGTCTTTGAAGCCATGAAGGATCTTGGAGAGAAAAAAAAATAGAGAAAACATTTAAGAAAAACTGTAATTGACTAAACAGCTAGCAGCACATTTCTAAACTATCAGTTTTTCCACTATAATTGTTTGAGTGCAACATCTGGATCAGAAGATATAGGAACAAAATGTATCATTGTGTGTCAATGAGCTGGGTGTTTCATCATATCCAGATACTGGGCACTCGTTAATACTAAAGGCAAACATATCTATTAAAAATGATTTCTTCATTCATCATTGATTCCGTCACTAAACTTATAAATTAATTATTACTTCTGCATTTATTAAAGTTAAGTTTCACTTAAGTTTGTACTTTCTTCACTTTTTGTATCTTGGGTTTGAGTATAAACCTCCCTCAATCTAATAAATAACTAGACAGAGCTGCTAACTTTGCTAAATCTGACAGTATCCAGTACAGCGTCAAATCCTTGGGAGTCTCATTTGGTTAAAATCAGGTTAAAGTTAATCATTGTCACCTTATAAAACATGTCTCTCAGGTCGTCCTTGGGGTTGACCCACGAGGCCACAGCATCACAGAAGAAAATGAAGTCCTGGACAGAAAAGGCTTGTTACTTCAACACTCACAGATGCATGTCTCTATCTAACCCCTGCAGGACCAACAGCTGCAGACCTCCTCCCCTCACCTGCACCACTCCTGCAGGGTTGACGCCGATCATGACACAGATTCCCCGGAAAGCGGAGTCCTTCTCCTCGTTATCTCTGATATTCCTCAGCGACGTGCACCTGAGAGCGGGAACAATAAGGACACACTAGAGTAATGAGCTCTTACGCATTTATAACAGAATTAAAGTATGAGCCATATGAGGAGTGCAGCATCTGGATCAGAAGATATAGGAACAAAATGTATCATTGTGTGTCAATGAGCTGGGTGTTTCATCACATCCAGATAACGAGCACTCGTTAATACTGAAGGCAAATATATCCATTGATTCACTCACTAAACTTGGTTAAATTATCACTTCTGCATTTATCAAAGAATACGATTTCTTTTTTATCATTTCTGTTTATCCATAAAATTATATTCAGATGATACGACTCACCATGGTCTAATAAAATGCTGCAGCTGTGGTGCCACTTCCTGCGGACAAACATAACCCAGTCTGCCAATTGTAATCGCTGCACAGAGGGACAAGAAAACATTGCATTAAAAAAAAATCTCTTCAAAAACAAGTGTGACGGAAGTAGTGTTAAATGAATGCTACGATCTAGATGTCTAATATATTCAAGACCTGAAGGCCTAAAATTCAGATAATTACATTTTAGACCTCTAAGACCCCCAGAGACCCTGATATGACGTGTGTGTGTGTACCTGTGTTTTCCAACAGAGTCTTGGGTGTGTTGGGTCTATTGATGATCTCTACTAAGTGTGGCAGGACCATGCCCACATAAGGCTGCATCTCCGCACCTAGAGAAACACAACAGAGACGGAGCACATCATTCAAGTGACGTGACCTTGATTATTTGAACTCCGGCCAATCATTTTGCAGGGAACATATCTGACAGAAATATTATTTTTAATTTTTGCACTCTTCGGTCGGAAAAGACGACTAGTTCGTTGGTGTCCCTACGCTCACCTGGACAATCCCCTGTTTGCTGCTTGACACCTGTGCCTGTAAGGATATCACACAGAGTGTCACTGGGCTGACTGGATCACGCACAATGACTCGCCAGGCAAGCATGCAAGCACACACACGCTCACACACACTCACACAATGCACAAGCATAAGCATAAGAAAGCTGGATCTAGTGGCACAACCATGTTCACAATCAGGAAACCCCTTTGCTAAAAATGCCTTGAACTGTCCGAAAGAAAATTATCTACCAGTTGCCAAAACACAGTTAATGAGGCAGTGCTGGATGCACAGACCTGCAGACCAAGTTGCATTTGTTAGGTCACACACAAGCAAATTTGGATATAGATAAATATAGCAAACACAGAGATTTGAAGTATGAGCCATATGAGAAGTGCAACATCTGGATCAGAAGATATAGGAACAAAATGTATCATTGTGTGTCAATGAGCTGGGTGTTTCATCATATCCAGATACTGGGCACTTGTATTCAGTGAAGGCAACCATTTGTTAAAAAACACAAAACAAGATGAAAGGTGTGACCTGCTTTCTCACCCATTTGCATGGAGATCTCCCCAATGGCCCAGGTGGCGTTGTTACACACAGAGATAAATTCTGGGTTCAGGTTGAGCCCCAAGATCGGCATGAACTCAGCTGGAGGGAGAACACGGACACACACTGCTTACAACACATTCACTTACACCCCCATAAACTATCTTACATCTGTGAAGCCACTGCACAATCTGTGGCTATCAACAGGTATTAACATTTAACAATGAATCAGAGTGCCCCCCCACAGCCAGGCGGTAGAGGAGAGGTGATGCAATAAGTTGCTAAATGCAAAGGTAAAGCATGCTCACCAATACAAGGCTTCACATGGATGAAGCAGGCCTTAGTTAGATCACCCAAAAGAGCAAACGAGCTTTGCCTCACTTCAGGCATTGTGTCCTACAAAAAAAAAACACAAATTAGGTTTATACTCTGTTACCTGATGCATCTTTGTTTGCATTTTTTATATCCATTAAAAAACATGGAAATAGAACACTCATGTTTTACCTGCATGCACTGGAAAAGGAGAGTCATGATGTTGGAGCGGGCCACCAGCTGCTCCACATTGCCCCCCAGACCCTCGGCCAGGCCGCTCAGCAGATCCAGGGCAACGATCATAAAATCCTTGTCAGGAGCCTCGTACTGGTCTGGGTGCTGGTTGTACATCTGTCCAGACAAGACAGAAAAGGTTCAATGTCTCTTCTTCAAGTCTTGAGGAAAAAATGCACAACCTATTTACTATGTGCGTGATCTCACCATAGCCTGAGCTAGTGTCTTCTGGACTAGAGTGACACAGCGCTGGTAGACAGGCTCACAGTAAGGCAAAAAGCCACTCTGCAGAGCGGTGGCTACTGATGATAAACACTGGAGGAAACACAAAGGTGAAAAATTATATGAAGGCAGTCAAATACCCAAAGGATAAGAATGCTTTTGAGTCAGGGGGGAACCTTCGTGCAATCATATGAATCACACTTTACCATGATTCTTTGTTAGTTGTGTAATCGGACTATGGCTAATTGTTAAAAATCTATTAAAAATAAATAGATTTCTCACCTCTAGTAGTGGGAAAAGATCCTTGTCCTCGTCCTTCAGCTCGTTCCACTTGGCAATAAGGGGGGGCATCAACTTCTGAATATACTCCTGAGGATTGATTGGAACTGATTAGAACTTACGGTTTGCCATTCTTATTTATCTCTTCATGAAATAGTAAGAAAACAAACTGTAGAAAAGCGGGACTGGAAACCCACAACCACCTGTGGAATCACTTCATACAATAATTGTTGTTTAATCGCCATAAAACCTGCCCTAGGTCCTTGGGAATATCATTTGGTTAAAACTGTAACTCAATGATAGGTCAGTTAGCTGGACATGCTAACAGTTGCAACTTGTGGTTTAGTCTGCGTCCAATAAAGTGTTTCTTTTTTGGAGGGTTTCAAACGTGGCAATTGTCTGCTACGCTGTGATTGCCGAGTATATTGTCTTGAGTGTGAACATTTTCTGTGTAGAAACAAATGCTCTTCCTCCCTATTACCACAAAACTCTAGCCACACTTCTCAGAATCAAAAATCATCCGCACCATGTATTCAGATTTCGAATGTCTGATGAGTGATCATCACAGAGTGTGGAGAGCCAGCAGTAGACATCAAGAACTAAAATAAGGTTGAAGTTAACTGTTGTAAAATGTCTCTCACTGTTGTTTGTGTCATTTGCAGAAAACCGAAGTGTAAAACAAATATCAGTGGTATCAATCTTCTCATCCAACTATTGGACAAAATCAATTTCCCAAAATGCAGTTCCAAATCCTTTAAACTAGTTTTTATCACTACTGCTGCAATGGGGGCCAACTCAGACCACCAGACCCATTTAAAAAACAGATGAAGAAATTAGTTTTCCCAGTGTTTTGCACAGGCACTTACAGGCTGATTGAGGTGGTGACCCACTGAGTCTGCCAGAGTTCCTATGGCATCATAGAGGATGAGGAGATTCTTGTGCTGGTATTTCCCGAACGCAAAGACCAGCGTGTCCAGGATGAAGCTCAGGTAGGGAACCAGCTCCGTGCACGCCTCCTCCTCTAGGGTGGCAAACGCACTAAGAGAAAACCAAGATGGAGGACATTAGTATTGAATCCTGTTATCTAGTTCTCCTGGTCTATGGGGAAATAAATACAGGATGTGGATCAGAGAACAATATGGGAACAAAGTGTATCATTTTTTGTCAATGAGCTGGGATTTTCATCATATCCACATACGAAGAGGACGAGGAGTGGGAAGTCGCTCACCTGCAGGCGGCCTCTTGCACCCTCTTGTTGCCGTCCAGGATGCGTTTCAGAAGCTCTGTCATGAGGGGTTTGAGGAAGGAATCGGGGGGCTGGGAGACCACCCAATGTGCATAGCGACTCAGGGTCCAACAGGCAATGGAGCGCACCAGGGCCTTCTTGTCGCAGAGACACTGGATGAGGTGGGGGATCAACTCCGGCAGGTAGGGCACCATGCCCTGCATGCAGCCTGAGCAATGGAAAGAGGCGATTATTGAAGCTATTGTTGGTTATTTTATAATAGCTATACTTTTAGTTTGGTGGTTCTACTTAATTTTGTTGCTCTGAATTGTTTAATCTAGATTTTCATATGAAAAGACATTTGTCAAGTAATGTCTTTTTCAGCAACTTAAAGATAGCACATGCATGTTTGGACAAACAGGTGTGGACAGCTTTCAGAAAAGGCATTATTTGCTAAATTTAACTCACAGATGAGCCAATATAATATGTAACCATTACTCATAATAACTGAGCAGCAACAACATCTAGTCTCTTCTGTGAGAGCTATTATCCACTGAGTCTTACCCTCAGCAATGGCCCCCAGCACCAGGATGCCAGACTCCTTAATGACCCAGTCAGGGTGGAAGAGCAGGCCTTTCAGGAGTGGGAGGAGATGTGGCAGCAGGTCGTCACGGAACACATTAGCCAGAACATCCAGAGCTGCAGCAGAGCACTTTCCTACATCGAAGAGAAAAACCTCAATAACAACATTGTTTTACAACGTGACCTTTGAGCACATGTTTTAGCTTCCTAAAATAGGTCCTGCTCTCAGGGCAACATCTGAGTGTTAGAACCATGTGACATCTTGGGGAGTTTGTACTTTAATTAAAATGTGTGTAAAACCTAGAGAAGGATAAATGGAAAAACTGGTGATGATATGCAAAGTATGTGAGATGTAGTTAGACCCAGTTTAGAAAGGTTCTAAGAGAGCATCTCTGTAGCTACATTTGTCCTCGACTTACGCAGGTTCCAGTCTGACAGTGTGTCGTCATCGTCATCATCGTCTTCTTCTATGTCCTCACCCTCCTCTCCCTCCCCCCCTTCGTGCTGCAACGTGACAGTGCGGGACTTGTGGAACCGGGGCTTGATGTCCTGATCACTGTCTGGTACAGCTTCATCCTCTTCCACATCACCCTGGACAGACGCACACAATTTCTACTACAGCTGCTCTGAATCATCATCATACGTAGAATTTACCGTAAAAATAATCACCTTCCTCATTGAACTCTGTCTTTGTTTCACTAATTATTTACAGCTATGAGACTGACTTTCAGTCAAAGGTTGAAGGGCATGTTTCAGCAGGTGTTGTATAAAAGGGCAAGAACAAAGGGAGAGCTCACCTTTAACAGTATAATGTCAATCTCTGAGTATTTCATCCCATTCACCAAGATTGGTGTCAGTCTATATTTAAAGAGAGGGAAAAAGAAAGATTTCTTTTGGACAAAACATTCAATAAATGATTGTGTTTTGGTTATTTATCAAATTAAATCATCTTCATTGTGGACAGAAGTTCTACTTACTGCACCAGGTGTCCAGACAGCATCTCCTTACAGATGGGCTGCTCAGCTAGAGTCAACCAAAACTCACAGGCCTCAAGGGCCACATTTTCATCTGGGTCCTGGGTCCGCTGCAGCATGTACTGCAAGAGATGAGGAAAAATCCATGTTTCAGACTTGAAAAGCAGGGGGGAAAGAGAAAACTACCAGTGACAGTTATGCAAAGACAACTGATAAATCTGGATCAGATATTTTAGGAACTTAAGGTATCATTGTAAATCAATGAGCTGGGATTTTCATCATTTCCAGATGCGTAAGACGAATTACGTGGACGTACAAAGGGTGCACAGCTGAGTGGGGAGTTGCCCAACACTTACCTGGATGATGCTGTGCATGTGGGGGATGAGGCGGTCGATGCGGACCTCCAGTAGCATGACCAGGGCTCGGCACACATTCTTTCGGACCTCAGAGTCCTCGTCTGCTGCCAGCGCAAAAAGGCTCTGGAAGGGAGAGGAGGAATAAGACGAGAAAGATATTTACTGTAAGAGGTTTATGTTTGAGTGGATGGATGAGCCAAATTTTAAAAAGTCTCCTATATTATTCAAACACAATACTGATTTACCTCATTGTTCAAACTCAGCTCACCTCTATGAAAGTATCTATGTTGTCCATTAAGGCCTGAGCTCTGCCAATGATGAACTGGTTCACGCAGGCGATGGCATGGGATCTGCAGGGATGACAGAATTTGATCAATCAGAAATGTTATAACCGCAACATTTCCTTGTTTGTTTTTTTATTCGTTAGTAAAAATTACACTTTAAAAGGGAAAGTTGGACTATTTAATTTAATTGACGCATTGTAGAGTTCATATTTCAAAAAGAATAAATTAAAAAAGTAGAAAACTGTGGGTGAATTGATGAAGGGATATATTACTATATAGAAAATGTATTTAAAACATGTGTTAGAAACTAAAATCAATTTTTATGTTGTCACAATGACAAACTAGCATCAATGAGGCTCCATTAAGGCTTCTTTCTGAAAATGAATTAAATTTCACATACAGGGAATCTATACGACTCTTACTAAATATTAGTATTGTTTCAGTGTAAGGGGTAAAAGAGTGAGCATATCTGGATCAGACAGTATGAATACAAACACCTTCACTTTAAGTCAGATGTTGGTTTGCATCACACCCAGATGCTAACGACAGACTACACTGAGAATTGACTCCTCTTTTCCGTCCTGTACCTGATCTTGGGGCTGCAGTGCTTGAAGAACTGAAGGAACTTAGGTATCATGATGTTGAGGGGTCTGTTCAGAGCGTCGCTGTCCAGCAGCTCAGACGAGTCCTCGCAGATCTTCTGCAGTGCTCCAAACGAGCCCTGAGACACGGACATACATAGAGAGGCTGTCAAATCAAACGCAAACATACAGGGACACAGAGGAGAGAATGAGACTGCATCAGAAAATCAAACGGGAGCACGAGCAGTGGACAAATTTCAGCTTAGTTTTCAAAGAAATTATTGTCACAAAAGCACAAGATTTCTCTGTGGAGTCAAGAATATTCTTACATTGAGTATGTGTCGTACAGAGATTCAACTAATAATTGTATTAATTAAAGAATTTCTGTGATTATAGCACAACGAGTAAAACTGACAGTGAGATGTTCTAGTTCAGACGCATCAATCACTAATGAGGGCATCTGACTATTATATTAGTTAAACTTGTACATTCTATATATTAAATAGTTTGGGTTTGGGGACCTCATTCTCTGCATGACTAGACTGACACATTCAACCTGAGCACAGATCTTATCTCCCATAAGTGAATAAGCTTGTCTGGATGTGCATTCTGGATGTGCAGGAATTTGAAGTAAGTGTCAGTGCTGGTTTTTATTGCGTAGAAAAAGAATAATTGCATATTAGGATAAGTGCAAACCTCGCAGGTGTTGTAGTCTTCCGAGTTGAGCAAGTTGCAGAGCTGTGGCAGTAGTTCTGGCCATGTCTGTAGCTCTCCCTTGGAGGCAATAGTAGTGATAAGTATGCCTAGAGGTGAAGAGGAGGGGCAGAAGAAATCCGACTTAAGATATAGATTCATAATTAAAAGGATGATGAGCAGTTGTCTCAACAGCAGCTCTGGATCAGACAGTATGAATACAAATACCTTCACAGATACTCAGGTGATTTAGTATACATCATCTCCAGAGGGGAAACAGAATAGGAGCACTTTGTGTGTGTGTTGAAACTCCCCCACAAAAACAACCCATGATGAAGACTAGCATTCACGACACCTGTCAACACAGCGATCACAAAAAACACAAACTCACCAATGGTGGCACGAATGAGCGGCGATGGGTCACCGATGTTGTTGAGACATTCCTGCTTGATGAAGTCAGCAACAGTCGGGGGGAAATTCTGGTAGTGGGCTTTAACATTGTTCTTCAGAATCAGACCGCTCAGAGAGCGAGTTGGCTCATCTGAACAGAAGGTGCAAAATAAAGTGAGGAGAAAAACATACCAATCAGTGAGTGTATCTTGAAAGGGTGTGCCGATATCAGCCTTTCTTGTTCAGAAACCAGTTTCAACAGCTCAGACCTACACATTTCTGTTGACAATTCTCATTTTCTTCTGTCTTAAAATATGTACTTTTCATTGTGTGGAAGAATAGGTAATGTAACCATGTAACTTCACCTTTCCTCCATTCACTTTAATCATCTAGTTGTAGACCATTAATAAAGTTGTACAGTTAAAACTTTGTTAGTACGGTTACAACTTAGTTACAATAAAGTTTACAACATGGTTTATTCTGATTGAAGAGAGTTGTTATGTCACATACTGATATCTTATGAATGGAAATATAAAGGAAAATAAGCGTTTGGCTCAAAATTTGTTAGATCTACTATTCAATAATATCTGATCTGAATATTCCCCTTCAAACCCACATCATCCCTCAGTCTGTGGCTGCCTATATCAGACACATTGAGTTGAAGGTGAGTGGGGAGGATCGGTGATTTGGATGGGTCATACGCGGCTCAGAGGGGAGAAGAATATTTGGTGACTCACCTTCAGTTTTGAGTCGTGTGAGGACAAAGATGAGATAATTGTTGAAGTCGGGGAACTGGTTGAGTTGTTCAAGTTTCTGTCATGAAAGTTAAGGACTTTTTCACATTAGAGCTTCGAAATTAAACAACCAACCTGTTGTTCTCTCTAACTCATTTGTTCAAAGATATAGAACAATGTTTGTCTGTACGTGGAATCTGCAGTTTTCCCACATGTAATATTCTTTATTTATCTGAAAAGATTTTCAGCCAACTGAAGACATTTGTGGAACTTGTATTACCTCTGCCAGGGAGGTTTTATTTTTTAATTAGCATTACGTAAAAATCTACTGAACAGATTTCCCATGAAACTTGGTAGGCTGTGGTCTGGGTCAAAGAAGAAGCTGTTCAATTTTTGTGTGGATCCAGATCACGGGACTGATCCATGATTTCCCCCCATTTTCTTTGACATTGCAAGATCTAGTGTTAGTTGAAATTTCTGTGAATTTCTTAAGGATGCAGGATCATCATGATACAAATTAGGCTTATGTTGAGTGTTAATATGTATGAACAGGTGAAATCTGGTGCAGATACAGGTGATGATCTTGACATATCTGAAATATAATACGGTGAGTAAGTCGTGGACACCTACAGAAAAACCCTCAATGGGTGGAAGGTACTCTACCTCAAACCTGACAATGCAAAAATGGTATGAAAACATGTCACAGGTCAACATTGCATCTGCATCAAAGTGTCACAAATTAGTTAAATATGTCTTGAAACTGCCCGGTCACTCTGTAGTAGGATACTTGTTGAACAGCTCTCTGCGTGACTGTGTTGGGCGACTGTGAGTCTTTGAGCAGTTGGAGGACCTGTTGAAGTCCCTGCTCGTCTGGCTGCCACTCCATCCTGAAAAACCAAAAACACACATAAATGAATCCCCACGCTGAGTTGGGACTCTTTGATCATTTACATGGATTAAGAAGCTGCCGAGAAATTCTCAAACAAGTGGACTCTGGATCAGACAGTATGAATACAAACACCATCAGTGGTAATCAGATGTTTTTTTTAATGCATCATCTCCAGAGGTCACGTGTAAGGTTATGAAAGCAGTCCAAAGGGAGATCATTAAAATTTAATTACAGAATAAACACAGGAGAAAGATCAGTTGTAAACAATGATGTCTGATCGCATATTAAGATTCGTTATCATCCAAGCAGACTTTTGTAGTATTACCATTAGTATTACAATATATTACGTATTGCTGTTTTCTTGTTATACCTTTTACTTTGTTAGATGTATTATAAATAAAGTGGACGTTAACATCACTGGGAGGCCTTTTTCCAACCAGACACTACATTACTAAAATTAACTTTTTCAAGCTGAACTAGTTTGTTTTTTTCAACCCAGGTCCCACAAGGCTGCGGAGGAAGAGGACAAGGCCAGAGGACGGGGGGGGGGCAAATCAGAGGTAAACACGCACCTAAAATCTTGAAGGGAAATCGGCTTGAGACACAAAAACGAGGGCAGAAGACGACCGGCTAAAATCTCCGTGAACCG